ACAGGAGAGAGAGTAGGGGCACAGGCCCCACCAATCCTGTCACCACCCAGTGGCCAGAGCCGGCTAATTACAACACAAATCAGACCATTGTCACACCCTCCAGGCCTCTCAAAGGCAGAGCCACCTAGTTCAAGCATAATTTCTCCCTCAGAAATTTCAGTTTAAGGCCTCTTAATCCTGGACTCAATATCTCCTCAGGAGGAGCTTCTCTGATAGGATCCATCTGCAATGTCTCCTATTGTGTGGTATGTATGCGAAGCAAAGACAAGGGAAACTTTACGATGGGCCTGTGAGGCAAGACTCCAAGAAGTCCAGGTCCTGGAGATAAGTGGGCCCTAGAGACCCCTGACCTCTTGCTTCAGTCCCCTAAAGAGGGTAATTACTACCTCAGGGCAACCACAGAGGATGAGGGTAGGATCACTCCTGATTGCCTTCTCCCTGCCTGAGCTCAGTGTCTTCTGGATGTCCTACACCTGGCTGTCCCAACCCTTTCCCCACTTTGGCCTGTCTCCACACCGTCTGGGTGCAGTGACACCAGCATGGAAGCTGATGAGGACAGGGACTGGGTGTGATCACCAGAGTAGCTGTATGTGCCTGGCACACAGCAGGCTCTCAGTATATTTTCATGGACCAGACACAGCTGGGTCCGACATTTACCATATATAGCATGGGGGTTAGGAGTACGGCTGAGCCTAGCTGCCCGTGTTCACATCCCACTCTGACATCTGCTAGCTGAATGCCTTGGGGAACTTTTATCCTTCCTGTACTCCAGTTTCTGCCCTTCTTAAAAATGGGGCAATAACTACCTCGTTTCTAAGGATGTTATGAGGATTAAGCAAGTTGAAGCAGGAAGCCCTGTAGTAGTAAGTGCTCAATGGTTGTTAGCTATTAATTAGCATTACTATATTTAGTTGCATGCTACTGGGCAAATCACATCTCTGAGCCTTAGGTTTTATTTCTGTAAAGTAGAGATATTATCCACCTCACAGGGTTCTTGGGAAGAATTGAAAGAGAATATCGTGTGTAGAGGGCTTAGTGCACTGCTTAGAAAACAATGCATAAGAAGTCAACCATTCACTGTGTTGCATTCTGTTTTTTCAGGGTCTCACTAGTTGAGTGGCCAACTGGCTGGATATATTAATTAGTATTAGTAGTCCAGATAGACTCTCTCGAAAAGCTTGAGTTACTCTGGGCCTCCTTTGTTAGGGACACATCACAAATAGCTACCAGATACAATATCTGCCAACTTTATTCAGGGGCTAATTTCCCCCAGTGTTGAGTCACCTTGTGGTACTTTTCCATTGGAGAAATGGATCAGAGAGGTTCCCTTTCCAGACCTGTGCCTGAGCAGGAGAACCTCAAATCCCTACCCTCAGGGATGAAATAATGATGATATTTCAGCCAGGGGATGGTTAGTGAGGGATAATTCCAAGACAGGACCTTTACCAGTTAGCAAATGCCAAGCCAAATACACTCTACTTCTTCTTCATCCCCAAGCCAAGTCCTCCCATATGCTGGCACAAAGGCCCTCACGAGGCTGGCAGAGCTGTGGACCTATATGCACCAGGACCCCAGAGAGGGAAAGATGGCAACTCCACAGAGGCCCCACCTTGGAGCAAGAAGGAGGTCAACTTACAGTTCTCAACTCCAAGTTCTGGACTGAAAGGGGAAGTCAGTCAGGCGGCCACTCCTCTCTGAGGGCCAGCCTTTATCACCTTGCTGTTCCCTGAACCCAGAATGGGGTCCCATGTGGACGAAGGGTTTTTCCTTCCTCTTTTTGTGATTTTATTCACACATACACAAGCTTAGAGGTTAAAAAAATTAAATTATTTGGTTATACATTTACTAAACTGGTTGAACTGAAAGAACCAACTTACATGCAATCTAGTACTTAAACTTCTCTATCAGTTGGTGGTGTGTGGACCAGATGTAATTCCTTCCCCAACTCCTTTTCTCCTCCAATCAAAGTACCTCTGGGTACCTTCAAAAAAAAAAACCACTAAATCTTTAGAATAAGCTACCCATTGAGCTGCCAGGTCAGCAAGTATTTATCGAGCACCTACTGTGTGTGAGGTTTGGGGCCATGTGGATGAGGCATGCACAACACAGACCCTGCCTGGAGGAGATCTGCCTAGACAAAGGACAAGCAAAGGACTTTGGCCTCCCAAGTCCTGGGCATGCCTACAGTGGAACACTCCCGTAGAGGTTTAGTTTTTATGTTATAATGATGATGCAACAGTTAAGATTTAAGAAAAACCTTGAATAGTCACTGCCGATAATCTCACTGTCTTAGCACAACTATTTCCATTTGTCTTTCAGTTTTTAACTATGACATACACATCATGTTTTATAGCAGAAACAACATACTTACTGGGTAGTATTTTTCCACCATTTATATTTTTATATATTCCTGCTGAGCCTTTATAATTAGCCTTTTCAAAGAGCTACCTGCTGTTCTATTCTGGTTCCTATGCCAGAATTACAAACTATCCCACTATTGTTGAACTTTAGGTTTTCTTTTTTTTTTTCTTGGAGTTGTGGAAAACAGTGCAGTGTTCATGGATGGACTCAGCACTGCCTGTGGAGCACCTCCTCCACCCAGGTCTACCCAGGTCCTGTGCTGAGAGCACTGGGGCCCACAGGCCATTAGCCAACCACAGTCCTCCCAGAGTTCAAGGTCCTATTGGTCCATAAAGTCCCCAGGAACATCTGCAAACCATTTCAGTAAAATGCAAAGACACCCTGGAAGACATACCAAGTGAATCATGCTAAAAAGCCCCAGTAAAAGGGACTCAAGTCTTAGGGGCCCAAAAGAATTCTACATTTTCAAAATGACTGAAGTAAGAAGTGTTTGAGAAAGTCCCAGGTCCCAAGTTTCAGTCACCAGCAGAGCTGAAACTACCTCCACACGAAGTTGTATTTCTAAATGGCAGGTCTTCTAATTTCATTGATGACTGAGGGAAAACCCACCTTTATTTCCAAATGAATTCCCTAACCCTATTGGCTAGCCAGGAAATCCCAGACTCCCCACCCACCCATAGGAGAATGAGTTCAGGCCTTTGTCCGGCATGACAGAGCTACTGTGTGGGCTGGCCTCTCCCTTGACCTTTCTTTCTCCTTTCTACTTCTCACTTCAAACAGAGTGGGAAAGGAGTCCTAGAAGAACATGGCTTGGATTTTCTCATTAATCAGCTCTCCCACTCTTTCCTTAGAAATAAAAGGACATACATTCACTTACTCTACCCTGCCAAGACTCTCTCTCCCATGAAACCCCACTCGCTGGTCCTCATGCTACCCCAGCTGCCAGAAA